TTCTTTAATTTAATTGTTATTGTTTATTTCTTAATTTGGTTGTTTATTGTTTATTCTTAATATGATTTGTTATTTGTTTATTTCTTTAATTTAATTGTTATTGTTATTCTTAACTTGATTGTTATTGTTATTCTTAACTTGATTGTTATTGTTGTTCTTAATTTGGTTGTTATTCTTAATTTGATTGTTCAGACGAATGAAAAAAAAATGAAATACTTCAGAGACACAAGACTAATGTAAAGAACAAAGGAAATATATGTTGAAAGATTTATAAACAAAATTTATCCCAATAAGATGAATCCTAAAAGTAATTTCAAACTAATTTCCTACGAGTGTCTTCTGTAGAAAAAAAAAAGATAAATCTTCTGAGGATTTAGGTTCTAGCCCTGAAAGGTTTTTCATTTCCCAAAAGAAAAATTGCTTATTTAACTTGAGAATCAACATTCTTTCAATATCGATCTCCACTAGTGTATTAACAATAAACTTAACAATCAAATAACTAGTTCAAGACAAATGTAGCATCAAATCTATTATACAGCTCATTTAAAAAACAAAACGTATATTCTCTTTTTATGAAATATAAACTAGTCAAACACTACTCGAAAACCAATAAGATAAATAACTAAAACAACAAAAGAGTATTCCTCGACATAACACTACTCATAGAAGAAACAAAACAATGACCTTTTCATCGTTACTTATAGTGATACTGCTCCCGGAAAAACATTTTCTAACTCTGACAGATATCTGTAATGTATCACACTTAACACTGAAACCAATCAAACATTAGTAACAATTTCTAGATACTGCCTCATCACGAAACGAGTAACTAGCTAACAATATTTCCTCTAACTCTGACAGATATCTGTAATGTATCACACTTAACACTGAAACCAATCAAACATTAGTAACAATTTCTAGATACTGCCTCATCACGAAACGAGTAACTAGCTAACAATATTTCCTCTAACTCTGACAGATATCTGTAATGTATCACACTTAACACTGAAACCAATCAAACATTACTAACAATTTCTAGATACTGCCCCATCACGAAACGAGTAACTAGTTAACAATATTTCCTCTAACTCTGACAGATATCTGTAATGTATCACACTTAAATGAAACCAATCAAACATTACTAACAATTTCTAGATACTGCCTCATCACGAAACGAGTAACTAGCTAACAATAATCCTTCTATCACAGTCATCTCAAATTGTTAATAACTTTTCAACAGTGAAAACAGTGATAATCATTAAACACAGATGGCGCTGTTGGTTCTTTAAAAACTGAAATGTTCCCTGATTTACAACAATTTCTCTTTAAAAAGAAACTGGAACCGGTACAATCTCGACGCAAGTTTCAAAATCAGGAATTCTTTTGTGGAGGAACTCAAAGTTAACTTACTTTGACAGATGTTTTTAAGCCTTCGTAACGCTGTTCAGCGTGTAAAAGAATCGGACAAAAATAAATCAAATACAATTTTGTTCACTTCACATTCTTCTTATTCTGAAGTGCAATGTGAAAAAAAAAGCAATAAGAAATGAATCCGAGCATGTAGAAATGAATCCGAGCCTGTTTTTCTTTTTGCAGTGTAGAGTAAAAGAATTATAACCTCGGGAAGAAATAAAAATTATATCATACTTCACAATTAATCCTCAATATCGGGGTGAGGAAAGATATTCCGTTTTTGTGTTGGGTTTGTTTGCTTAAAAGATGCATAATGCACGGATCGAACCCCGAAGTTCAGCGGTATAAGCCCTATAAGTTATTGTTGAATCAGAGTGTGACATTGCGTTGAGTGAATATTTTTGGTTTTGTATTTTCGTTATTGTGTTGCGATATCGCAAGGTTGCCTTATATCCTCCAAATCTCTATAACTTGAATGTTTGCGTGTAGAACGATCCGAGGGTATTACAGTAGGTGGGAAGGTGGTAGACGTAGAATTACCAAAGAGTATTACAGTAGGTGGGTAAATGGTGAACGTAGAAATGCCAAAGGGTATTATAGTAGGTGGGAAGGTGAGAGACGTAGAATTACCCGAGGGTACTGCAGTAGGTGGGAAAGTGGTGGACGTAGAATTACCAAAGGATATTATAGTAGGTAGGAAGATGGTAGACGTAGAAATACCAATGGGTATTCTAGTAGATGGGAAGGTGGTGGACATTGAATTACCTGAGGGTATTACAGTAGGTGGGAAAGTGATGGACGTAGAAATACCAATGGGTATTATAGTAGATGAAAAGGTGGTAGACGTAGAATTACCAAAGGGAATTACAGTAGGTGGGAAATAGTGGACGTAGAAATGCCCAAGGGTATTATAGTAGGTGGGAAGGTGGTAGACGTAGAATTGCCCGAGGGTATTACAGTACGTGAGAAGGTGGTAGACGTAGAATTACCCGAGGGTATTACAGTAGGTGGGAAGATGGTGGACGTAGAAATGCCCTAGGGTATTAGAGTAGACCACCTTAAAGGTTATGAAATCTCGACTATTTTTAACGTTATGAAACGCAGATCATCTGAAGGTTATGTGTTAGAGGTTGAAAACCTTTCAAGCATGAATTGTCAGAATAATATTAAGATTCAGCTGGATAGAAAGAAAATGAATGCAGAAGTTTTTTGTTAATGAACATCAAACTAGAGTCAGTTAACACCTAGAAAATACTGTTCTTACTGGAAAGATTGAGGGTGGGGGGAGTAAGGCAGAGAACGAAATGGATGAACAATATGCAAAAATGGGGGTGCAAGAGAACTATTCAGAGCACGAGAATATAGGGTAACCAACCTCTGACATTTATTGATTGATTGAAGTTGCATGACTATATTTGACATTTTTAAATCTTCGTTATTGATTTGAATGAACGTATTTCATGTACTTTCTTTTAAATTTCCACGACAGGAAAACGATTCCAGTTATGAGGATTAGAAAAACGATTCCAATGTTCCTAAAAAAGTTATTGGATTTTTTATTAATTTTTTTTAACAACTAGGGCGGGTAGTCCTTTCTTTTTCTCTAAAATTTCTCAGAAATATTTTTGATAATCCAAAAAATAGAATCGGGTATTTTTCTTCTTTAATAGCAGCAGCGTTTTTATTTTTTTAGACAATTATTTTACTCGGGAGGAGACGTTTTGCAGTTTTCATTCGTGATTCGAAATTTTGAAACCTTATGTTCAGTCATTCTCACCGACTAGTGTTAGTAAAGGGCTAGATCAGAAACCACAAGGAGTAGACAAAGTCGTCCCTAATCTTGAACTATTGACCACAAGAGAGGCAGCCAACTAGCAACAAGGGCTTTGTGTGGCTTTGAAACTAATAACTTGATTAACTATCACTTTTATAATTCAACCCAAACTAAACGTGTGGAGATTGTTTAGCAGCTTTGCAGTTTAACCTTAGAATTTCTGATACGCAGCCCTGAACCCAAACCACTAGGGCACATAAGTAATTAATATTTAATGTGTAAGGTCTTCCATATCGATTGAGCTTTCAGTTAAAGCTAATTTATCTAACCACTAGGACTACAAATTGTCAGTAAACAATAAATAACGTATACAGCTAACTGTTTCGCTGTTTCAAGTCATTGGGTAGACAATAAATAACGTACACAGCTAACTGATTCGCTGTTTCAGGTCATTTGGTAGACAATAAATAACGTACACCACTAACTGTTTCGCTGTTTCAGGTCATTTGGTAGACAATAAATAACGTATACAGCTAACTGTTTCGCTGTTTTAAGTCATTTGGTAGACAATAAATAACGTATACAGCTAACGGTTTCGCTGGTTTCAAGTCATTCGGTAGACAATAAATAACGTATACAGCTAACTGTTTCAAGTCATTTGGTAGACAATAAATAACGTATACAGCTAACTGTTTCGGTGTTTCAGGTCATTTGGTAGACAATAAATAACGTATACAGCTAACTGTTTCAAGTCATTTGGTAGACAATAAATAACGTATACAGCTAACGGTTTCGCTGTTTCAAGTCATTTGGTAGACAATAAATAACGTATACAGCTAACGGTTTCAAGTCATTTGGTAGACAATAAATAACGTATACAGCTAACGGTTTCAAGTCATTTGGTAGACAATAAATAACATACACCGCTAACTGTTTCTTTACTTCAAGTTGTTAAGAAAACCGCAACAGATAAACGTCCTGCTATTTCAATATGTTTAGTAAACCATTTTGCTGTTCAATTGTTTTATAACATATTTCTAATTGTTTGGTAAATAAAGTTGCTCAGGACTGTTACATACCTTCCCCCAGCCTCTTCTTCCTTCTTCGACGGACAAAACAGATTACTAGAACAATATTGAACACCAAGAGAATCGTTCCCACAACCGACACTGAGATCACGATAATGCGGGGGAGATCAGCCTTTCTCTCCAGAGATCCCGCCGTTCCTTGCTGGGTTTTCTCGCCTGGAATCTCATCTAAACCAGTATAATAACCAAAGTCAGTAAATGTTTGAGACAACCAAGTAGTCAGTTCTGACTCTGGTCGACATGTGTAAGGAAAAACCTAATTCGAATAATATTACATTAAAGAAACAATGAACAAAGTAAGACGAAAACAATATGTACCTTTGAGTAATAAAGTAACTTGAACAAGATTGTCTATGGTATATAATACATTTGTTTAATAAATCTATTTCGTAAATACAAAGCTTTAAAGCTTGATTTAATATAACATGCAGAACTCGAAAGAATTTAACATTAATTTGTATACATTCTATAAAAAATATATTTTCTCTAATGACCACAATAAAACCACATCAGTTAGTTCTGGTCATTACGAGGGCGACCGAAAAGCTGACAGAATGAAACTTGTGCAAGGAAATATAAATACAATGTTATAAAGATGCCATCTAGTATGTTAATTCTCCACGAACACAAAACACTTGTATTTAACAAACAGAGCAGAAGAGACGAATCAATATACAGAGAAACTATAAGTGTAAATTACATGAACTGAAAACTAGGGATAATCAATACACATGGATACTGTAAGTGTAAATCACACGAACTGAAAACCAGGGATACTCAATACACATGGATACTGTAAGTGTAAATTACATGAACTGAAAACTAGGGATAATCAATACACATGGATACTGTAAGTGTA